GCATAAATACATTTCATTACACAAAATACACTAAATAATGTTATTTTTAGCAACATCATATTGATCCCTTTAAAGCGAAGAAACCAAACTCAATTCACCCGGGAAGTAAAACTGCACCATGAAATTTACAGAATTAGCAGAATTTATAGAACGTGACGCATTTATAGAATGCCGACTTTCCACTCCGCTTCTTTCTTGGCTTCGATACAGACTGTTTCAAAGGACTCTAATGGAAGCAGCTTAGATGCTTGGCATCCCAAACCGCAAATTGAGATTTTTTTTCATCTCAGGACTCTCTTAGGAGATTTGGACCTCGGTAGCCACCGTCCCTCCTATCTATATAGCGCAGACAACTCTATTAAGAGAATTTGCTCAGACTGAGCTATAAAATGCTGAAATTCTAAGTAATTCCCCACATTACTTTTTAAATCACAACAAAAATAAGACAAACTTAATGCACCCTTATGCTGTTCCAAACCACATGACTTTTTCCTTCTGCATATAATGACATAATTAAAATTTTTTTTAGGTTAACTGTCCCTTTAAAAGTGGGTACCATCTGCAGTTCCTTTTGTTCCAACTAATAAACATTCCTTTATAATCGCCGGCCAACAGAAATCAGCCATCGAAGAGTCCAAGCTATTAAAAGCCCCATCCCATAATAACCGAAAGCCTCCCAGGACTGAAGCCCCATGTCTCTACGGTGAAAGATGCTGGCCCAATGCACTCATCTGAATCCTCACCATTTGTGCAGGGGAATACGCTCGGCCCACGGCTCTGGAGTCTGGCAGCCGCTTGTGTGTAGATAGGGCACGGTTTAGAGACCCGCGCTCCACGCCAACGTCTGTGCCAAGCACAGTTCAAGCTCACACCCGCTGAGGAGCCCAACCCTCTGACTGGCACTGCAAGAGTGCCCTTCAAGCCTTGTGTGTGTGTGTGTGTGTGTGTGTATACGGTGCTAGGCTGAATGTATTGTGTTAAAAGACATCGGATGCCTTAGGCCACAGTTAAAATAAAGCGTTCTGAAAGGAAATTAATAAAATATTTCACACAGCATTCAATAATGCTGTTCTGTATTCCAACAAACAAACATGTTTTGTGCTCATTACTAAATAATACAAGGATCCTTAATTATATTAATGAATTAATACGCTAGAAAGATTTTGTGTCTGAATTGCTTGGATCTAAATCCATATTGTCATTCAGATTCCTGCTGCTCTCACTATAGGTTCCAAATATCGATCGTGATCCATATTCTAAATCTAGATTATGATTCAGATTACATTTGCACTGAATATAGAATTCTGGAACTAGATTATGATTATACATCCAAATTGCAATCCAAATTCATTTTGTTCTGAATATAGATTTTAAACAAAGAATGTTATTCAGATTCACATTGATAAAAATTTAGGTTCTGGAGAAAGAAAGAAAGAAAGAATTGCATGTATGTTGTATGCATATGCAAAATGCATCGTATACATATTGTACATGTATATTATAAATACATGCAGATTGTAATTCAGATTTCCCTTGCTCTAAATATAGATTCTAAATAAAGATTGTGGTCTAGATTCAGATTAGTTTCCATATATTAAATCGAGATTGATTAATATTCTGTTTGCTCTAAATACGGAATTCTGAAACTAGATTATGATCCATTTTGTACATCCAAATTGCAATCCAAATTCATTTGCTCTGAAAATTTATTTTAAACCAAGATTGTGATTCAAGTTCATATTGTTTAGAATTTAAGTTCTGGATCCAGACTATTTATAGATTTTGAAGGCTATGAAGGTTGTGGTCAAGACTCAGATTAGAATTCATATTCTAAATCCAGATTATGATTCAGACTCCATATGCTCTGAATATATAGTCCCGTAACCAGGTTATAATCTATATTGTACATCCATATGGCAATCCAAATACTGTACATTTTGCTCTAAATTATATATTCTTTATTCTGCAGCTTTTTATTTTAACAATACATTTATATTTATTTTTTATTTATTTATTGTTGTAAATCTCAAAATGAGTGATTTGTTACCAAAGATTTCTCTTATTACTTTTAGGTGAGTCATCCCCCTGCAGCGTGAATAATGGAGGGTGCCATGACCTTTGCCTTTTGACTCCACTTGGTGTGGTAAACTGTACTTGCCGTGGAGAACGGATTTTACTGGATGATAACAGATGTGTATGTAAGTCCTGTACCCTCTCTTTCTCTCTCTGTATCTATTGTTCATTTTCACTCACCCAAAATGTTCTAGTATGTCTCAGTACTTTGTCTCAGAGTTATGTGGCTAAGTCCATATCTGTTAGTATTGAGGCTATCTTTATGCTGGCGTATTCCAAATAATAGTAGATATCTCTGTTTGGGATACTGGTGATAAAGCAGGTTTTGAGAATATGAAATGTTTGGTGGCTGATTCACTCTGGATTGAAATTCAGAGCGCACGTTCAGGTCTGACATGCCCTAAGTCTGGCGGCGGATAGCTGAGAAACAGGGGGCATGTGGGACAGATCGGCCACTTTTGGCATAGTGAGAAGAACATTCTGCTGCTCTAGGAACAAACTACAGCATAAATCAATCAGTGAGGCTGTGGCCCAACAACCTTATTACTGCAGCATTCATATGCTTATTATTATTAATATTATGTACAAATCTAAATGACTAGGATTCCTATGGCTCTGAATGTAGATTCCAAATCCAGATTGTGATTCCAATTCATTTTGGTCAGAATTTAGGTTCTGAAAAACCAAGTGTGCATAGAGATTGTAATTCAGAAGCTAAAATTGTGATCTGAACTCAGATTGTGATACATATTCTGAATACAGATTATGATTCACATTCTATTTGCTATGAATATTCTGGAACCAGATTGTAATCTATATAGTACATCCATATTGCAGCTAAAATCATTTTACTTTAAATATTCTAAATCCAGAATGCGATTCAGATTCATTTTGCTCAGAATTTAGAATTATAATTTATAATTTAGGTTCTGGATCCAGATTGCATACAGATTGTATTCCACATTTCCCTTTCTCTAAATATAGATTCTGAATATATTTGAGTGATGAATGAAAGTTGATGGTCTAGATTCAGGTTATATTCGATATTCTAAATCCAGATTATGATTCAGATTATGTTTGCTCTAAATATAATGAATTTTGAAACCGGTTTTGAATCCTTTTTTTTCTCTCTGAATATAGATTCTAAATCCAGATTGTGGTTTACATGAGTTTTGCTCATAATTTAGATTCTGGATCCATATTATAAAAAACAAATGTACATAAAGATTGTAATCCTGATTTTCCTTGCTCTGAATATAGATTCTAAATAAAGATTGTGGTCTAAATTCATATTATGATCTGTACTCTAAATCCAGATTATTATTTAGATTCCATTTGCTTTTTGGAACCAGATTTTGATCTAGATTGTACATCCAGGTTGTAATCCAAGCTCATTTTGCTCAATTCAGATTGTGATTCAGATTGAGGTTCTGGATCTGTATTGTAAAATATAATTGCACATCTATATGTAATACAGATTTCCTTTGCTTTGAATGTATGGATTCGATACCAAGGTTGTAATCTGGATTTAGATTATGATCCATATTCTAAATCCAGATTATGGTTCAGATTCTGTTTGAACCAGGTTTGAATCCAAATTTAGCTCTGAATATAGATTCTAAATCAAGATTCTGATTTTGCCTGAAATGTAGATTTCAGATTGTTGACTAAATTCTATCATCTAAAGCCAGTGAAACTTGATTATCTCCTTTTTGTAAGAATCAAACTCAGACCTGTTCTGCATTCACACTGGACTTTAAAATGGAGTAAGATCTAATTGATCTTAATTTAGAATCAGTCTCACACCTCTTTAAATAGACCGGTTTTGCATTCACACTACCACTTGGCTTCTATTCTCATTTAGTTAGCACAGATATCTTTAATATCAATGTATTTACACTATTAATTATTATTATTTTTTATCATTTGGAATTATGCAAATGTGAAAGCAAAGGTAACCATGAGCACTTTGCTTTCATATTACATATTAAACTTTACTGAAACAATCTCGGTTAATTCGGTTTGCTTAAAAGTGGTCTAACTTCATCTAAAACGTTTTTGTTTGGTTTAAAGTGTACTGACTTTGTTTAAAGCATTTTGATTTGCTTTAAAGTGGTTTGACTTCATTTAAAGCATTTTGGTCTTCTTTAAAGTGGTGTGACTTCATTTAAAGCATTTTGGTTTGCTTATAAGTGGTCTGACTTCTTTTAAATGATTTTGATTTGCTTTAAACTGGTTTGACTTAATTTAAAGCATTTTGGTTTTCTTAATAATGGTTTGATTTCATTTAAAGCATTTTGGTTTGCTTAAAAGTGGTCTGACTTCTTTTAAATGATTTTGATTTGCTTTAAACTGGTTTGACTTAATTTAAAGCACTTTGATTTGCTTTAAAGGGGTCATATGATGTTGCTAAAAAGAACATTAT